AAAAAAAAAAAAAAAAAAGAAAGAATTACAAACATAAATATACATTTATACTGTCTTTTATGTTTAGCTATATACTTTATTAGCATTTTTTATTTCTTAATATAGATTCAAGTTACTGTCTTATATCTTTTTATTTCAGCCTAAAGGACACATAGTCATGCATCACTTAATGATGGAGACGCATTCTGAGAACTGCGTTGCTGGCAATTTTGTCATTGTGTGAAATAGAGTGTACTTACACAAACCTAGATGGTATGGCTTACTACACACCTAGGCTATGTGGCATAGCCCATTGCTCTGAGGCTACGAACCTGGTTAGCATATTACAATACTGAATACAATTGTAACACAATGCTAAGTATTTATGTAACTAAACATAGAAAAGATACATTAAAAATACAGTGTAAAAGCTCCATTATAATCTTGTGGGACCACTGTTGAATATGTGGTACACTGCTGACTGTCATGTGGCACATGACTGTATTTCTTTTAGGACAGGTTTGCTAGCGATGAATTCTCTTAGTTTTTGTCTATCTGAGATTATCTTAATTTCTTTTTCACTTTTGAAGGATAGTTTTGCTATATACAGAATTCTGGTTGACAATCTTTTTCTTTAAGTAACTTGATATGTCATTCTGGCTTCCATAGTTTCTGATGAGAAGCCAACTCTTAACTGTTAAACTGTGGATTGAGGATCCCTTTGTATGTGATGAGTTGCTTTCCTCATGCTGCCTCCCACTCTTTTCTGGTCTTTGGCCTTAAACAATTTGATTATAATGTATTTACATGTGGATCTCTTGATGTATCCTACTTGGAGTTTATTGAGTTTTCTTCCATGTGCAGATTAATATTTTTCATCAAATTTGGAAAGTTTTTCCCGTTATTTTTTCAAATATTCTTTCTGCCTTCTTCTCTCATTCTTCTCTTTCTTGGATGCTCATTACACACACATACACAAACACACCATATTTTTGATGTTCTCTCAAATGTCTGTGAACCTTTGTTCATTTTTCTCCATTCTTTTTTCCTTTCTATCCATTAGACTGTATAATATCTATTTACATATCTTTAATTCAGATTCTTTCTTCTGCCTGCTCAAATCTGCTGTTGAGCCCCTCTAGTGAATTTTTTATTTCAGATACTATACTACTCAACTCAGAATTTATATTTTGTTCTTTCAAAAAATATATAATTTCTATCTCCTTATTGATATTCATTACCTGATATTATTCTCATACCTTTTCTAGTTCTTTGGATATGGTTTTCTTTAATTCTTTGAATGCATATAGAATTGCTGATTTAAAGTTTCCATCTTATAAGTTCAATATATGGGCTTCCTCAGGGAGAGTTTTTATCAATTGTTTTTTTCCCCATGTGTATGTGCCTTACTTTCTTGTTTCTTTGTGTGCCTCACGATTTATTATTGAAAACTACATTTTAAACAATGTAATACAATACAGCAACTTTGGAAATAAGATTCTCTTCCTTCTTCTGGGTTTGCTGTTGTTGATGTTGCTTGTTTGTTTTGTGAATTTTCTGAGCTAATTCTGCAAAGTCTGTATTTTTCTTGTTGTGTATGGCCACTGACATCTCTGCTTAGTGTTCAGCTAATAATTGAACAGAATGCCTTGATGCTTGGAACCAGTAAGTTGCTCTGTTTTTGCAGAGGGACTCTGTGTGTATGTTGGGACATGAATTCAATAGTCAGACAGGAAATTTGACAATTCCATCTTAGCTTTTCTGCTGGTGCAGAGCCTTAAGGTTAGTCCAGGGTGAGAGCTTAGGACCTTCCTTAGGTTTTTCCTGCACATGTGCACAGCCCTGGGCATGTGCAACCTCCTATGCAAACATATGGCTTTCTATATTCCCAGGAATATTTCAGAGTCTTTCAAGGCCCTCTATAGATAATTTATTCCCCCAGATTTTTCTTTTAAGGTTTTTGGTTAGCCTATTTATTTATTTATTTTTTTGCCTCAACAGTTATTATTGTTTTAGGTGGCCACAAAGTCCAGCAATTGTCTCCAGTTGTTTTCAACAAATACCTTTAAGGAAAAAGTTGTTAACTTTAGGCAAGCTTTGAGACAGGTGAAATAAAGACACTCTTGCAAATGGGATCTTCCAGGGAACCACTAGACAGGTCAAATAATTACAACTCTTTGGGAATGAAGCTTTGAAGGAACTCCAAGCCTATTCTACTCCTTCTTGTAGCTGCCAGCCTGCTGGTTTCCATGGTGATTGTGGTTTGTTGGTTTTCAAGGCTACTGCAGAGTTGGGGTGAGGGGGATGGAATTGGAGCAAATTAAAATACCACAAGGCTCGCCATTCTTACTAAGATTGTTATTTTTTTTTCTTGAACAAAGACTTCCCAGATTGCTGTAAACTTTTGAATAATTTCCAGAGTTCTGCAAAATTTGATTCTTCTCTCTTTTTTTTTAAATTTTTTGCCATTTTTCTCATTGCTTTTAGGGAGGAGGGAATTTTCAGAGGATTTTACTTCTACCGTTTTTATTGACATTACCTGCAATATATTTTAAATACCCTTCTCTGTGATTGCTTTGTCACTTCTCAAAACTTAATTCAAATGTCTCCTCCATGATGAAGAAGGAGAAGCTCTTCACTTGTGAAGCCCTCTTCTTTGTATCCTCGGGGCAGCTCTTCCTCTATTCTCCTATACCTCTGGGTTTACACCTTTGTTATTTCACTTTTCATAATAACAATTACTTACATCTGTTTCTATCCCTTTTTCCAGTCTGTGAGCACCCAGTCTGTGACTTATTCATCCCCCATGCCCAGTCTAGCTTCTGACACAGAGTAGATACTCAAGTTTGTAGTCTGAAGAATATGGTCCTAGGAGACCTCAGAGCCTAGCCAAGGGCTTCGAATTCCAGCCACCATTTTACTCCTTCTCCTTCTATAATTCACAGCTGATCCCTGTCTCTTCATTGTCTTGTATGTGCTCTGGTGTGATGATCCCATAAGCTCAAAGTTGACACACTGAGTGTGTGATATGGTTTGGATCTGTGTCCCAATCCAAATCTCATGTCAAATCGTAACCCCCAATGTTAGAAGTGGCCCCTGATGGGTGGTGATTGGATCATAGGAGTGAATTCTTCATGATTGAGAATCCTTCATGATTCATCATGCACTTGGTGCTATTCTCGTGATAGAGTTTTCATGAGATCTGGTTGTTTAAAAGTGTGTGGCATCTCCCCACTCTCTCTCTTGCTCTTACAAAATTTTGCCATGTTAGAGGCCTTTCTGCCCCTTTGTCTTCCACCATGATTGGAAGCTTCCTGAGGCCTCCCCAGAAGCAGGAGCCACTGTGCTTCCTTTATAGCCTGTGGAAGCATGAGTCAATTAAATCTCTTTTCTCTAGAAATTATGCAGTCTCAGGTATTTCTTTATAGCAGTAGAAGAACTGATTAATACAGTGTATGAGGAAAATAGGGAGCAAAAAGTTAAATCCTGTGTGGTGATTCAACAACAACGACAATAGTAATAATAGCAGCTACTGATTGCTGAATATAGTCTGTGCTAGACATCAGGCTATGGGCTTTATAGTCAATATCTCAATACATTCTAACATCAACCCTATCAGGTAGGTGCTACTATCCTCATTTTACAGGTGAGGCTGAGTAAGGGAAGTGGGAGAACTGAGGTTGGATGAAGGGTCTGACTCTAATATTCTTTTTTTTTTTTTTTTTTTTTTTGAGACAGAGTCTTGCTCTGTTGCCAGGCTGGAGTGTGATGGCACAATCATGGCTCACTGCAACCTCTACCTCCTGGGTTCAAACAATTACCCTGCCTCAGCCTCCCAAGTAGCTGGGACTACAGGCGTGCACCACCACACCCTGATAATTTTTTTGTATTTTAGTAGAGACGGGGTTTCACCACGCTGGCCAGGATGGTCTCAATCTCCTGACGTCGTGATCCACCCACCCCTGTCTCCCAAAGTGCTGGGATTACAGGTGTGAGCCACTGCACCCAGCCTAAACCCTATATTCTTAACTGTTCCATTTGAGGGGTTTTTGAGAAGCCAGTTGGAGGAAGGGAAGCCCCACCCATGTTTGCAACTGGCTCCCAGGGTAGAAAGGGGGAGAGGTCCCACTTCCCTGGCACTGGGGTGACAGATGTAGCCCTGAGGCAACAGGTGAGAAAGATCTTCCATCATCACCCCAACAATTCCAACATGGTGATGGCTCCAGCCTGCTAGGAAAGCCACCCCACGTGGAGGCAAGACATAATCCAGAGGGCTCAGAAATATTTCAACAAATGCTAATATCGGTCTATCCAATACAGCCCTGTCAGCAGGAAGGGAGAATTCTGCCAGCATGCATGGGGCACACTTTTTGGCACAAGGGACCCGGTTGCCAAGCAACAGTAGTTGGCCTTCCTCCCCATAATCTTTTCCTCTGTTTCTGAGTTTCCAGTTAGCAGATGAGAGGGGCTGGGGCTGCCCAGCCCAGCCCAACCCAGCCCTTGTCCCCCTTTCCTGCAACAAGGGGCCTATTCATGGGTCTTGAGCAGAGTTCATTGTCTTTGTGGCACGTGTCTGTGTGTGTTGGAGACAGGAAACAGGGAGGGGCCGTGTGTAAACCAGGGAGACCTCATCTTCCAACCAAACTTGCTGGGCTAGCTTTAATCAATGCTGGCCTGAAAACAGGAGCAGAACTCTGCCTAGTAGACCCTGAGGCTTTACAACAGTGCCACTGACCCCTATGGTAAGACTGCGCCTCTGTGCCATCCCTGCTGTGGCCTCTCTCTTTTTCTTTCTCTCTCCCCGCTCTGCCCTTGGGATTCTAGGCTGGTGGAGCAAGCCTCCTGAGACAGCTCTGGTACAGGGGCTGGATCCTAGCAAGGGCCCCGTGTGGCCAATTTCCTGTTTCCTCTCCAAGGACTGCCTTTTATTCTCCTCTCTTGTCCCTCTTAGGAACATCAAGTGCTTTGCACATACATGGTGCTCAACAAATTATTATTACGTTGAACTTTCACTCAAAAAGCGGAGCAAGGAGTCCTGTAATTTTAAAGGCCATGTTTTCTAGACTAGCACATGAACTTGGACTGTTGAATTTTGAGGTGGGCAGTTCATGAGGTGAGGCCAGTTTGTTCAGAGGCTAAGTTTAAAGCCAAGCTTCCTTGCACTGAGGTGGGACACCCTCTGTTGCCACTTCTCTACTTTCTCTCTCTCTCTTTTTTTTTGAGACAGAGTTTCGCTCTTGTTGCCCAGGCTAGAGCGCAATGGTATGATCTCAGCTCACCACAACCTCTGCTTCCCAGGTTCAAGTGATTCTCCTGCCTCAGCTTCCCAAGTAGCTGTGATTACAGTCATGCACTACCATGTCTGGCTTATTTTGTATTTTTGGTAGAGATGGGGTTTCTCCATGTTGGTCATGCTGGTCTCAAGATCCTGACCTCTGGTGATCTTCCCACCTTGGCCTCCCAAAGTGCTGGGATTACAGGCATGAGCCACCGTGCCTGGTCTCTCTACTCTCTTATGGGTGCTTGACTGGCTCTCCCAAGCCTGCTGTCCTCCAGCCTTGCTGCCTGTGTCCTGTGAGTCTCACCTCTAGGCACAAGAAAGAATGCATGTGGTGTGATACAAACCATTACCTCTCTTTCTCCTGGAAAAGCAAGGCCTGTAGCTCTTGGGAGGTCCAGACCTACAGGTCCTGGGCTGTGGCTGGTGTAGGGGATGGGGAGGTGGGGCTGCTACCTCACTCTGTAGGCAAGGTGTTGGGCTGCTGCCCTGTCTGTGAGCTGAACTGGCATGGGTGGTCTGGGTCCAGTGGAATGATTTTCAGGGAAATTTGGAGGTGACTGACCTAGGTGAGTCTGACAAAGGCTTTCCTTCCTCCTGCCAGAGGGTTAGGAGGACTAGTTCAGTAAAGTATGAAGACATGATCAGGGAGATTTTGGTGTGAACAGAACATTTCATGTGACACGTGAAAATCACATTTAAGCCAACGTTGTTTTGGAGTCAGTGTTTCAGGGTTTTATCCTCATTGGGTACAACCCTACATGTTGATAGGAAAAGATGCTAGGGAGAGGGGAGTCTGCAGGGGAAATGGGAGTTGCGTCAGTTTTAAGAGATCTTATCTAACCTACTGGATTATGAATTTTGGGGGGAAAGATACACAGCTTATGTGTAATTCTTATGAATATGATTATACTTAACATTTGCATTGGGCTTTACAATTTATAAAGCTATTTTTAATTCACATAATCTTATTTGTATCTCCCTCTCTCCCTCTCTCCCTTCTTTCCTTTCCTCCTTTACTGTACTTTAACTGAATTCTCACTTTGTTCCAGGCCCTGTGCTTAGACCTGAGACGTGTAAACCAGTGAGGAAGGAGAGAGAAGGAAGTACATGAGCACAATATAGGGCCCAACAAGTGCTGTATGCATTGAAGGAAGCTCTGGGGGAAGTGATGTCTGTGCTGAGTCTTGAAGGGTCAGTAGGAGTCAGCTACATGGGGAAGGGGGAGAGCAGATGCAAAGTCTCTGCATTGTGAGAGTGCCTGAAGGCACTGAGTAATGACATGCATGTCAGTGTGACCCCAAGTTTTGCTGTGGAAGGAGCAAGTGCTGGCAGTGAGGATGGAGAGGTGAGGTAGGGTAAGATCACGGAGGACCTTTGAGCCATGCCATGGAGTTCTGGTTTGATCCTGAAGGCCACAAAGACTCATGGGGTATTTTAGAGATAGGGCTCACATGTTCATATTTGCATTTTAGAAAGATTATTCTGACTTTATGGCTGGAGAATAACAGAGAGAGACAAGACACTCAAGGAGGGAGATTATTCCTTGAGAAATAGGAGTTATTACTCTTATTTTATGAATTAGAAAACTGATATTTGAAGAGATGGCCTGAGTTGTAAGTTCACATAGTAGATTGCAGACCTAGCTTTTTTTTTTTTTTTAAAGATCTTATTTTCATTACTCTTCTTAATGGCTCATGAGCTTCAGGCACACTTATGACTTATTCTGCTCTATGCTTTCTCATCGCCATGCCTTTGCTGATTCAATCCTCTTTGCCTGAATTACCCAATGTGCATGTACCTCTGTTTCTCCTGGAAAAGCAAGGTCTGCAGCTCTTGGGAGGTCCAGTCCTACAGGTCCTGTGCTGTGGCTGATGTAGGGGATGGGAGGTAGGGCTGATACCTCACTCTTGTTGCAGAGCCCAACACCTTGCCCGTAGAGCATGTATGTTCATCTATGTGGGCCTGTCTCAGAGGCTGCTTTTTCTAGGAAGCCTTCTGTGGTCACCTCAATGAGAAGTAAGCTCTTGTTCTTTTGAATGATGATGGTAGTATATTAATCTGTTCTCACATTGCTATGAAGAACTGCCTGAGACTGGTTAATTTATAAAAGAGGTTTAATTGACTCATAGTTCCGCATGGCTGGGGAAGCCTCAGGAAACTTACAATCATGGTGGAAGGGGAAGAAAACACGTTCTTCTTCACATGATGGCAGGAGAAGGAAGTGTAAAGTAAAAAGGGAAAAGACCCTTATAAAACCACCAGATCTTGTGAAAACTCACTCACTATTATGAGAACAGCATGAGGGAACTGCCCCATGATCCAATCACCTACCATGAGGTCCCTCCCCGATGCATGGTAATTACAATTTGAATTACAATTCAAGATGAGATATTGGGTGAGCCAAACCATATCATTCTATCCCAGCCCCTCCCAAATCTAATGTTCTCATTTCAAAACACAATCCTGCCTTTCAAAGTCTTAACTTGTTCATGACTTAGACTTAAAAGTCCAAGTCTAAAGTCTCATTTGAGACAAGGTAAGTCTCTTCTGCCTGTGAGCCTGTAAAATCAAAAGCAACTTAGTTACTTCCCTGATACAATGGGATACAGGAATTGAGTAAATACATCCATTCCAAATGGGAGAAATTGGCCAAAACAAGGGGGCTACAGTTCCCATGCAAGTCTGAAATCCAATAGGCCAGTCATTAAAGTTCCAAAATGGTCTTCTTTGACTACATGTCATGACATGAAGCATGACATCCAGGTTATGCTGATGCAAGAGATGGGCTCCCATGGCCTTGGGCAGCTCTGCCCTTGTGGCTTTGCAGGGCACAGCCCCCCTCCTGGCTGCTTTCATGGGCTGGTGTTGAGTGCCTGCAGCTTTTCCAGGCTCACAGTGCAAGCTGTTGGTGGATCTACCATTCTGGGGTGTGGGGGACAGTGGCCTTCTTTTCACAGCTCCACTAGGCAGTTCCCCAGTGGGGACTCTGTGTGGGGGCTTCAACCCTACAATTCCCTTCTATAATGCCCTACCAGAGGCTCTCCATGAAGGCTCCACCCCTGCACAAACTTCTGCCTGGACATCCAAGTGTTTCCAGACATCTGAAATCTAGTGGAGGTTTTCAATCCTCAGTTCTTGGCTTCTGTGAACCTGTAGGCTCAACACCATATGGAAGCTGCCAAGGCTTGTGCTTGCATCCTCTGAAGCAATGACCTGAGCTGTACCTTGGCCCCTTTTAGCCACAGCTGAAGCTGATGCAGCTGGAACATAGAATACTATGTCCCCAGGCTGCACAGAATAGTGGGGTCCTGGGCCTGGCCCACAAACCCTTTTTCTCTCCTGGGCTTCTGGGCCTATGTTGGAAGGGACTGCTGTGCAGGCCTCTGACATGCCCTGGATATATTTTCCCCATTGTCTTGGTGTTTAACATTTAGCTCCCCATTACTTAGGCAAATTTCTGCAGTGGACTTCAATTGCTCATCAGAAAATGGGTTTTTGGGCCAGGCCTAAAATCATCTATCACATCATCAGGCCACAAATTTTTCAAACTTTTATGCTTCGTTTCCTCTTGAACACTTTGCTGCTTAGAAATTTCTTCTGCCAGATACCCTAAATCATCTCTCTCAAGTCTTAAGTTCCACAGATCTCAAGACAGTGTGGTGATTCCCCAAGGATCTAAAACCAGAAATACCATTTGACCCAGCAGTCCCATTACTGGGTATATACTCAAAGGATTATAAATCATTCTACTTTAAAGACATATGCACATGTATGTTTATTGCAGCACTATTTACAATAGCAGAGACTTGGAACCAACCCAAATGCCCATCAACGATAGACTGGATAAAGAAAATGTGGCACATATACACCATGGAATACTGTGCAGCCATAAAAGAAGAATGAGATCATGTCCTCTGCAGGGACATGGATCAAGCTGGAAGTCATCATTCTCAGCAAACTAACACAGAAACAGAAAACCAAACACCACATATTCTCACTCATAAGTGGGAGCTGAACAATGAGAACACATGGACACAGAGAGGGGAACAACACACATTGGGGCCTGTTGAAAGGTGGTGGACAAGGGGAGGGAGAGTGTTAGGACAAATGTTTAATGCATGTGGGGCTTAAAATCTAGATGATGGGTTGATGGGTACAGCAAACTACCATAGCACATGTATACCTATGTAACAAACTTGCAGGTTTTTCATAGGTATCCTGAAAGTTAAAGTAAAACAACAACAAAAAAGGAAAGACTATATGTGACATGGTTTCATTTACGTAAAACTATAAAAAAGGGAATTCTAACATACAGTGACAGAAACAGATCAGTGATTTTCCAGGGCTGTGGGTTGGTGAGAAGTTAACTATGAAAAGGCAGGAGGAAAATTTCTGGGGTGACCTTAATGTCCTATATTTTGATTGTGTTGGTCATGTGGGTGTATAACTTTGTTAAAGTTATTGATCTGAGAACTTAAAATGTATGCAATATTTTGAATGTGCATTATGCTTCAATAAAATTGAACAACCCTCTACCCCCGCAAAAGAAATAAAACACCACCAAAGTTCCACAGATCTCTAGGGCAGGGGCAAAAGGTCTCCAGCCTTTTTGCTAAAGCATACCAAGAGTCACCTTTCCTCCAGTTTCCAAGGAGTTCCTTATTTCCATCTGAGACCACTTCAGCCTGGATTTCATTGTCTATATCACTATCATCATTTTGGTCAAAACTATTTAACAAGTCTCTAGGAAGTTCTAAATTTTCCCACATCTTGCTGTCTTTTTCTGAGCCCTCCAAACTATTCCAACCTCTTCCTGTTACCCAGTTCCAGAGTCACTTCCACATATTTAGATATTGTTACAGCAGCACCCCGCTCCCAGTACCAATTTACTGTATTAGTTTGTTCTCACACTGCTATAAAGAACTGCCTGCAACTGAGTGATTTACAAAGCAAAAAGTTTACTTGACTCACAGTTCTGCATGGCTGGCAGGCCTCAGAAAACTTACAATCATGACAGAAGGGGAAGCAAACACGTCCTTTTTCACATGGTGGCAGGAGAGAGAGGTGCAGAGGGGAGAGGGGAAAAGCCCCTTATAAAACCATCAGATCTCATGAGATCTTACTAACTATTATGAGAACAACATTTGGGAACTGCTGCCATGATCTAATCACCTCCCACAAGGTCCCTACCCCAACACATGGGGATTACAATTTGGATTACAATTCAAGATGAGATTTTGGGTGGGGACACAGCCAAACCATATCAGGTAGTTTAGCTGAACTTTTCTTCTGTCACTTAACAAATTGTGCTTTGTTTACATGACTTATCATCAGGACCAGACTACAGGTTCTTTGAGGCAGTCAGAGTGGGGAGTGGTCCATGTTGGTTTATCCTGAACTCCCTGTAGTGTCCCCTATAGTGACCTGTGCACTTAGACCAAATATCTATGGAATGAATGAATGGGTGGGTGGGTGAATGGTGGAGGGGCACTTCTTTCTCTGAGCTAGGAGGGAATGAAGACCGGGTGGGATCTTGAAGCTGAAAGAGGATGTTGAGGGATGTTAGCAGATGCCTTCAATGTTTATGGGAGGAAAGATGAATAATGGCTAAGAGTACAGGCTTTGAAGTGGTCCGAATCTGCATTTAAGTATTTACTACTGGCTACATGAGAGTAAGGTCAGTGGAGTTAGGGGTCCCAGGAGGGCACAGGGAGGCCTGGCAAGGTATCTGTGGGAATATGCCGGGAGTCCATAAGATGAAAAGAGGTTTACAAGTGGCAGTGGAAGCACTGGGGTTAAATAATGGGGACTTGGCAGGGTGCGATGTCTCATGCCTGTAATCCCAGCACTTTGGAAGACCAAGGTGGGTGGATCACGAGGTAAGGAGCTCAAGACCAGCCTGACCAACATGGTGAAACCCCGTCTCTACTAAAAATACAAAAATTAGCCCGGCATGGTGGCGTGTGCCTGTAATCCCAGCTACTCAGGAGGCTGATGCAGAATTGCTTGAACCTGGGAGGCGGAATTTGCAGTGAGCTGAGATTGTGCCACCGCACTCCAGCATAGGTGACAGAGTGAGGCTCCATCTCAAAAAAAATAAAAGAATAGGGACTTGGACTGGACTGTGACTTCTCTCTGCAATCCTTGATGTGGGGATCCTGGGTCTCTGACGCTTACTTCCCCAGAGCCTGATGCTGGATGACCAAGCCCCTGTGGAGGCCCAGTATGCAGAGGAGGGCCCAGGACCTGGGATCTTCAGAACAGAACCTGGAGACCAGCAGCATCCCGGTAGGCCAGACTGGGCCACAGGGGAATGACAGGGTGGGGACAGTGGAGGGTAATCATACTACATTCCCTGGCTCCTCCTTGGGTCAGCCCCACATAATTGATGGTGAGAGGCTGTCTCTCTCTTTATCCCCAGACCTGCTTTTGCTCCCCATTTCCCACTTCAGGGATTGAGTGAGATTTGTGGGCTTCAGTGATCAGGCCCTCTCCATCCTCCCCTGCTCCCCACTCCTTCCCCATCTGGGCTGATGGGGCAGGAGGGGGTATCCTGTTGGAGTTCATTGGGTGCCTGGCCCCACGGTGGTGACTTAAGGTGAAGTAAGGCTGGCTGGCAGGAGCAGGAGACCCAGATGCCCATCTGTGTTTTCCCACAGTTTCTCAGGCGGGGCGCTGGTGCTCCTTGAGACGTGGCTGTGCAGTGCTGGGAGCCCTGGGGCTGCTGGCTGGTGTGGGTGTCGGCTCGTGGCTCCTAGGTCAGTGCTGGGGGCCCTTCTCTGGTCTGGGGGAAGTTGGAAGGGAGAAGCAGATGCTGAGCAGGTGTTAAGGTAAATGGGACAAGTGTTTTCATCTACTCTGTGCAGACAAGGGGAGAAATGGTGAAATTGCAGCAAGAGGGATCTAGGCTCTACATAAAGAATGAAGTGTATGATCCAAGGAGGCTTTAGTCCGACTTTTTCTGGAAATCTTTCCCAGTGAGCGAGATATAGAGAGTACACACACACAGAGAAAGAGACATACAGAGAGACAGACAGAATGACACACAGAGAGAGCGAGAAGGAGGAGAGTCAAAGAGGCAGAGATAGAGGCCAAGATTGAGAGAGATGAAGTGCTGTGCCCTTCCTCAGCAGATTAGTTGGGGACCTGCCTGAGAGCAAGATGGTTGATGAGGAGGTCAGCACCCTGACCCTCTTCTTTGGAAATTTGACCCTTTCTCTTTGTTCTTTTCTGAAGTGCTATATCTGTGGCCGGCTGCCTCTCAGCCCATTTCTGGGACCTTGCAAGATGAGGAGATAAGTTTGAGCTGCTCAGAGGAGAGCAGCGAGGAAGCTCTGCTGCCTGCACTTCCCGAAACAGGTGGGCCACACCCCTAAGGCTACAAGTCTCCCTCCCCTGCCAGGGACCCGTCACAACTGGGGGCAAGAGGACTAACACTGAAGGACCTTCTGTTCAATGCCAAACATGGGATTGAACACACTCTCCCGCCTCTAGTGTGAGGGCAGTGACAAGGTCTCACCTTGCAGAGGTGATCTCTGATTTGGGGCTTTCGGGACTCCCTAAGGACTGTCCCGATCTCTAGCTGGGGCAAGGTCCGGAGACCAGGATGGCAGGAGGGATGGAAACTTGCCATGTGGGGTAGAGTGAGCCAGGGATGTGGAGGAAGAGGGGTCAGGTGTGTATGGGAGCCAGTGTGTGACCATCAGGGTCACCTAGGGGTCTGGGAATATCATCCCACTTCATCCCCCTATCTCCCTCCCCTGATTGTCCCCTCCCCTCCAGGTAAGAGTTGGGGATCAGAAGGTTCAATGTTGTCCAGAAGCTCGGGGTTAGAATAAGTTCATTAGAATAAGGTTGGAGTCTGTCTTTGACTAACTGTGTGGCTTTGGGCACATTACTTCTTGTAGCGTCTGTTTCCTTCTCCATAAAATGGAAATACAAATATTTACTGCATAAGTTTGTAAGGATAAAAGAAACTCATCTAAAAAAAGATGTTAGCACAGAGCTTGTGTAGTAGTCTGTTTGATTTGCCATGACTAAGTAGCACAGACTGGGTGGCTTAAACCACATTTATTTTCTCACAGTTCTGGAGGCTGGAAGTCCAAGATCAAGGTGCTGTCAAATTGAGTTTCTAGAGAGGGCTCTTTTCCTGGATTGTAGATGGCTGTCTTCTGCCTGTGTCCTCCCAGGGCCTTTTCTGTGCTCTTGAGGAGAGGGAGCTGTCTGGTGTCGCTTCCTCTTCTTCTTCTTTTTTTTTTTTTGAGATGGAGTTTTGCTTTGTCACGAGGCTGGAGTGCAATGGTGTGATCTTGGCTCACTGCAACCTCCGTCTCCCAGGTTCAAGTGATTCTTCTGCCTCAGCCTCCCCGAGTAGTTGGGACTACAGTGTGGGACTATGCCACCACACCTGGATAATTTTTGTCTTTTTAGTAGAGATGGGATTTCACCATGTTGGCCAGGATGGTCTCCACCTCTTGACCTCGTGATCTGCCCGCCTCAGGCTTCCAAAGTGCTGGGATTACAGGTGTGAGCCACCACGCTCAGCCTTCTTCCTTTTCTTATAAGGACATTGGCTCTATTGGATCAGGGCCCCACCCTCATGATCTCATTTAACCTTAATCACCTTCTTAAAGGCCCTGTCTCCAAATATAGTCACTTTGAGGGTTGGGGCTTTAACATATGAATTTGTTGGAGGGGGACACAAGTCAGCCCATAACAGCCTGGAAAAAGCGTACACTCAACAACTGGTAACTATTATTATCACAAGATTTGAAATCAGAGGACCTAGACTTAAGTCCTGGATCCATCACTTCCTGACTCTGTGATCTTGGGAAGTTGCTTAAACTCCATGCCTTAGTTTTCCTTCTGTAAAATGGAGAGGATGGCAGTACTCATTGCACAGGGCTGTTGGGACAATGAGTTACCACTTAAGAGCACGCTTAAAAGCACTCGGTTAAAATAGAAAACTGAAATGCTCTACCAATAGGGGTTATATTGTTCTTGGGACTGGTCTCACTTCCTGGGGAGCAGGGAGCTTGGCACTGGGTAATCCGGATGCTGTCATCAAGGCCTCTTCAAGTACCATAGATTCCTGGGTCCAGCTCTTCCTGTCCCACCCTACCGCCATTGTCCTCCATGTGGTTTTCTTGCTGTGATTTCAGTATCTTTCAGAATAAGCAGCAAAGACTTCTTGCTGGAAGTGCAAGTGAGGGATTGGCCGCGCTGGCTCCTGGTCTGCCACGAGGGCTGGAGCCCTGCTCTGGGGCTGCAGATCTGTTGGAGCCTTGGGCATCTCAGGTAACAGGAGCCAGATGTGGGTCCTGTGAAGGGGGAGGCCTGGCTGGCGCGGGATGGGAGTTGAAGACCTCGATGTGCCCATTACTGGTCAGTGTGCTCAGGAAATGTCAAGAGGTCTTTTTGGCCATCTTCTGGCCTCTGGGCACAATGATGCCCCAGCCCATTTCTCTGTTTTGAGTATTACTGCTTTTTAACAAGCATAAATCCCAGAAGTAGTCATTATCACAGTCTTGCGGTCATTATACTAGTATTATATCTTGTGTACATTCCAGTTATGATTTCTTCCTTTCTATTCCCTTCTTCTGCCAAGACTCACTCACCACAAGGGAGTGAACCTATCTGACATCACACTCAACAGCTCCCAGGAGTTTGCTCAGCTCTCTCCTACACTGGAAGGCTTCCTGGAGGAGGCATGGCAGCCCAGGTAGGACTACCGAGGTGGTTACTTACTGGTGGTCAGTTCGGCAAAAATCTTTCTTGGGATCCTGGTGGTGAGGACACTGGTGGTCTGAGATAGGAGGACAAAGAGGAACATTTTTAAATCGGAAATTACAAACTCAGTTCAGATGAAGCCTTGTTTGTCACCACTTCACATCTGCTATTTGCCCTTCACAGGAAATGTAGGGTTGGTTATTATTGTCACAAGATTTTCAATGGTACAAATAAAACATCACCAAAGTTCCAAATGCATTGCCATTTTACAGGTTAGGAAAAATGCATTGCCATTTTACAGGTTAGGAAACTGAGGCTTAATAAGGTTAAACGGTCTTGTCCAAGGTTGCATAAGCAATAAGCAGCCAAGTCAAGCCATGAAACCAGGCCCCTGTCTCCAAGCTAAGTGCTCTCTGAATCCTGCCACACACTATTTGGATAATTCAGATATTTCAGGAGAGAAATGGTTGAATTACTCTGGCTAAGAGTTGCTTGTAGCCTGGAGAGTCTCCCAGAGAAGAGGGCTGTGGAATGGAGCAGCCCCTCCGCCAGATCCTGGGGATGGTCTGGTGTGACTGGGGCACAAGCAGAGAGGGTCTTTGCCCCTTCCTAGGCTTCCTAAAGCTGCCTGTCTGCCTCCTGGGATGGATGGGTAGGCACCCCCATTACCACATTTCCAATTTAAACTGTTCCTTCAGGCTCCTCCTGTCCAGCTCCTATCCTCGGGAATGTGGCTGGAGATGGGAGGGTTCTGACTGGGTTCTTTTCTTGGATACCTGAATGGGCAAATGGAAATAGGGGTGGGACTGACTTCTCCAGGAGAACCAGGAGTGCTGTGAATTTGGGAAACGAGGAGAAACTAATGTCTAGACATTGCACTGCTAGGAGCAAGAGGTGAGTAAAGAAAGAAGAGGGTTTTGGTCAAAAAAGGAACTGAGGCTTATGCTAAGAGAGATGAGGGGAAAGAGGAGAGTAAAAATATGAATATGCAAGGCCCAGGCAGAGGGACTGGGGTGGAGAATCCAGCACACCTAGGAAGGAGCATAGGGTGAAGAACCCTAGTCATGCACACACTTACCTATCCGTTCATTAATTGAGTGTATATTTATTCAGGACACTTTGTGGGAACAGTTGGGCTTTCTCATCTGTAAATACTCTGTGTCCCAGTTATCTGCAAAGACCATGAAGTCCTTCTGCTGCCCTTTGGGAGGTTAGGCAGGAGATGTGCTGCTATCCTGGGGACCAGTGATGAGGATGGGCCTGAGTGTTTGGGTGGGGGCAGGAAGGAAATGGTGGTATTCTTCAGGCTGTGGCTACATGACAGCCTTAAGAAATGTCCACTACCCCCCACCAACCTCCCCCATTCTTCACATCCTTGGATGTGTGTGGCCACAAGGTGGCCAGCTTCTTGCTGCCACCTCTGTTTTATAGGAACAACTGCACTTCTGGTCGAGTTGTTTCCCTCAGATGCTCTGGTGAGTCATGTCTCGGTCCCTGGGAGGTGGTGGTGGGAGGAAGGGGTGTTCCGCTTGCCTCAAGTGTGGAAGAGCCCTATGGTGATGCTCTGCTGGGCCTGGGGTGGGGGTCCTTGCCCACCTGCCCATCTCCTTGCCAGGCCCCTTCTTGCACTTGCTTTTCTGCCCCAGCAGAGCCCTTTCTAAGCCTCCATCATGTCCCTCACCAGCCACAGATCTGGGTGGCTGATCTCCTCGCTTCTGACACAAAGTCCCCCTTTCTTCTGGAGAGCCCCAGAGGTGAAATTATTATTGGCTGTTGACTAATCTGTTAGCAGCTTCAGGAAACTAAGGGCAGATGGTGAATTGGGTACCAAATGGAAAGCAGTCTGTGGAGTTACTTTGATTTGTCTTCCTGTTCATCTGTTCGTCTCTTCATCTGTCCATTAACACATCCTTCCACACACCAACACTTTGACCTCTACTACAGGGTGGGCATTCTGTTAGGTACTGGGGCTCCATTAGCGCAGATATAGTTTCTGCTCTCAGCAGGCCCACAGCCGGATGGTGTAGGCAGGGGTGTAATCAATACCTCTACCTTCCCATCCCCCATACATAGGACCAGGGATCAAAAATGAGAGCTGTCCACCCTGGCTCTCTGGGGCTTGGCACTGGGCTGCGCTCCCTGAGAGTTAGGACCATGCTGACACCCAACTCTCTCTCTCTTTCTATCTCACCCATCTCTGTTGGCAGAGTGTGGAGCAAGGCCCCTGGCTTCCCGGATAGTTGGTGGGCAGGCTGTGGCTCCTGGGCGCTGGCCGTGGCAGGTCATCGTGGCTCTGGGCTTCCGGCACACGTGCGGGGGTTCTGTGCTAGCGCCACACTGGGTGGTAACTGCTGCACATTGTATGCACAGGCAAGTCTCTGTGGCAGCTGAGAAGAGAGAGCCTTAGTTGCCCTTTCTGTTTGGCTGTTGGTGTGTCCTACATCAAA